AGTTTGATATGTACCGACAGGAATAATGGAAGAATTCTCAAACAATTTTTTCTTCCTTAAACGGAGAGAGAAAAAAACAAATCAGATATAAGAAACGTTAGATGATTGATGAAAGATTGGTCTATACTTGTTCAGATATAAGTATATTATATATATGATTATATCTGTTCAAATTTTAAAAATTTATTGTTTTTATTATCAGTTTATGTTTAAATAAAGCATTTATTCATGTATTTTTAATAAATTTATTTAGCATAATATTATTGTTAATAATATTATAATAAATAAAAATATTATTATATTTAACAAACAAAAAAATACAGAATATTGGATTTTTATTCTGATCTTAATTTTCAGGACAACATGTCTTACATTGGAATTTTTTTACAAATAATGTGAGAAAATTTATTTATACAGTAGCTATTTCTCATTTTATTTTTATATTAAATTTATTTAGTTATAAAAGTAGTATTAAATAATAAATATAATAAATATAGTATATTTAGACTGAATTTATTAAGATATAAATACTGTTTGTAATTATTGTATTATAGGTAAAATATTTAATTATTAAATATATGTAAAAATTTAATAAAATTTATTATTAATGATTTAATAACTGAATATGATGTAATTATCTATATAATAATCTATATAATATATATATATATAAATATGTATATACAAAAATATATTATATATAAATATTCATATGTATTCAATGTTTAACAATGTCATCTATTAAGAGATATTTCTGAAAGAACAATATAAACCAATCTTAAATTCAATTAAAATTATATCAATATAAATTCCATTCATAATGAATTCACTAAAATAATCCAACGTTCCCTATGAATCATTGTTTTCCTTTCAACATGGTGGGCAAATCGAAGTGACATCTAGAGCTCTAGAGTCATGGTACTCACCTCATACTGATGAGATATTGTGCCAATGACACAGCGTCCGGATTTCCAGTAATGGTGATTGTACGATCCGTGGCGCCACCCTCCCTTTCCTCGCAGTTGCTGATTCTGATCATGGCACCGGAGATTTGACGAATCTCAGCGATCTTGGTGCCACCTTTGCCGATGATACAACCGATCAGCTCGTTTGGCACGGTCATCTCGTGCGTCTGATTGTTCGCCGCTGGTTGTTGTCTATTCGTATTGCTGGTACGTAATTGACTACCAGCAAGTGCTGCTAATGCTGTAAAAATATGATAAATATTTTATATATTTGAACAATATGAAAATTTTATAAACAATATAAAATCTTGTATTATTCTGTTGTTATTCTTTTGTTTCATCTCTTTAGAATAATTTTGAATAATATTTTCATTTTTGTTTAAATTTTATATTAAATTTTGTAGATTTGTGGTAAAAGAAATATAATGGATTGATAAATGTATATGATATATTTAATAACAAACTAGGAAATGTATGATACTGTATAAGAATATTTTAATATAACTTAAATTTTTAATTTTCGTGAAACAATCTTATAATATTTCTTATAAATAAATATTAGAAATATAATATTTTTTATAAATAATTATAAATAATGTCTATTTGTAATTTCTAATGCAATATTATAAATATTATACAAAAATTTTTTGATTTATTCCAATGAATGTATAAAAATTAAATTATAATTATATTTTTTTCATTAATAAAGAAACATATTTTAACAAAGACTAAAATTATATATATATATATATATATTGTAGGAAATGAAACTAGAATGATGGTGAAACTATAAAAATTCAGAATTACAACAAAATTTAGGAATTCAGAAACTATTAAAAATGAAAATATTTTTAATTTAAATATTGAAAGATAAGAATAAGAAAATTAAAATAAAAAAAAGATTGGACTATGCATTTCTTACTTTAAAACATATTATATAAAATTAAATTTTTAGATAAGTATATAATATAGCTAATTATGAAACTATTTTTATTTAATCTTTTTCACTTTCATTGATAAAAAGTTACTTATTTTAATTATTTCTTTTATTTATAAAGTACATTTATGAGAAAAAGTATTCAATTTTTAAAATTTTATTATAAAAAATTAACTCAAATTTTTTAAATTTTCATTTAAATTTACTATAAATTATTAATTAATCAAGGAAGTTATATTCTTATTTTTATAAAAGAAACATATAT